GGGGGGGGGGAGTATTGTCTGGTATTTGAAATCAGAGGGGTGAGTGAGATTCAAGCGGTTCATAAGGAGGTTCGTGGAGAGGCTGTGGACAGATGCTATGGAACAGAAGCGGGGAGCAGGGAGGGGGGGAGGGAGGCCGTTCCCCGCCTCTAACGTGCCAGCCTCTTCCTCTGCGCCCAGTTCAGAGGCCACCCCCTCCTGAAGGCCTCCTCTTGTCTGGGTCTGTATTGGTGGAAATTTAAATAGAGGTGCAGGTGACACAGCGGACGGCAGGGGGTGGGCGCCGAGACCGAAGGGCAAGGAGCAGAGTTAGGGAGTGAGCCCTCAGGGCCGGGGCTGTTTTCTTCCTCTGGGTCAGACGCTCCTTAAATGGGCGGCTGTGTCCTCAGCGAGCTGACCGCGCACCTGCTCGTTCCACGGAGAGGGACTGAAACCCGCCCCGGAGACCTCTGTAGAGTGACACGTAGGACAGGCAAGGGGATGCACTCAGTGGCGGGGACAGCGCCCCTGCGTCCCAGGACCTTCCCGTGGTGGGGGGCGCAGAAAGCCATCCCGACTCGGTGGCCGCTGGCCGGGCGGACGTGTGGCCAGGAAGCCGCTCCTCGGACGGCGCTGTCTTGTGGGAAACGGGCCCCGACGGACTGACCGGGGGCAGGGCCCCGGGAGCGGCTCGGCGCGGGTGTGGTTACGATGAGGCCTGCGTGCCGGCGACGGAGAGTGGGCCTGTGTCTTTCGCGTTGTGACGTATTTTCCTGTGTGCAGATAAAAAAGGTTCAGGGAGACGATGGCATCTAACGAAGCGATGACTTCCGGGGATGCTCGGCCTCCTCCAAGTCGAAACAGGTTATTCAGATAACACTGTTTGGGGCGCTTCCTCGCTCTTGTGGTCTTAGCTCTCCCTTCCCTGTGTTGAATGGTTTCAATCTCTCTCACACACGCTACAATTCAACTGCTATTTTAAAAGTGTTACTCTCTGTTCCGGCCGCACTGTGCATCCAGTGTGTTAAGGAGCGCAGGTTTATCAGCCGCCCCCCAGAGCGCATTCACCTCTGACTCCCGGTGTCTTACATGCTCAGAGGGACCCATCCCCCCAGGAGGAATGTTGTGGAGCAGTCACTCTCCTAGCAAGGCTAGCTTCCAGCGTCGGGGTTTCTTAACCACTTTTAGGCGGTTTTCTGAAACGTTCCCAAGAAATTTTACGAAGGGCCCCCGTGTTTCTCTGCGCTGCTATCGCCCTTAGTAGCTTGCACACTTAAAAAAAAAAAAAATTCATTCTTTTCACTTCTTTTTCAGATCAGTTGCTATTTATAACGGCTCTAAATTTTCCGTACAAAGTAGAAATTGGCTGTGGGAATAGGTTTCCGCACCGTGGGTTAGCTAATGCAGGTATTGTTGGGATAGGATGGAGATCAGGTTAAGCACCGCCCCTCCCTCTCCCAGGCCCACTCGAGAAACCCGCTCCCCTGGGCACTAGGGACCCCCACGAGGCCCGAAGGGCACCGGAGTGAGAGCACGCGCGCCGGTTACGGGCAGGCGAACGGTAAGCGCGGGAGACCTGGGGCCGTGTGACTGTGCCCTGTCGTCCCCTGGCACCGAAAGTGACCACGTCTTGGTAATTAGCTCAGGCCTATGCCACGCCATGCTGTTGTAGGGGTTCAGATTAAGTCGCCCCAACTTGGATATTGTGCCACTTCGGCCAGGATATGCTAAGCTACGCTGTGTCCTGTCGACTTCCAAGGTACAAGGCTTTGACTGAAAGGGCGTCGTACTGAAATGCTTTGCTCCCGTGGCCCTGGCTGGGTAGCCCAGTCGCCTAGAGCATCGTCCCACCCGGTACAGCGAGGTTGTGGGTTCGATCTCCAGTCAGGGCGCCTGCAAGAAGCAGCTGATGAGTGCGTAACAAGTGGGACAACGAATCCGTGTTTCCTTCTCTCTCCAAAATCAATAACTAAAATTTTAAGAATACCTTTGATCCCTCTAAAATCCCATGCTCTTGCCTACCAGGGACTGCTACCACTTAAGTTTTCCCCTTGCCTCCATACGCCTCCCCTTTATTTTATCTTTGAGCTTTAATACAACCTCCGTAAAATCCATTTTCCCTGGTTTTCTGGGGTGACTCTTGATAAGAGGACAGAGTGTGGAAAATACACATCGGAGAGGATTGCCATTCTTAGCTGCCTGCTGAGGAATGTTGAGCAAGTCACCGGATCTTTCGAAACCCTGTTCCTCATACATAAAGCGGGAGTAAGGGCGCCCTTCCCTGCCTCTGTAAAACACATTTAATTAGATTGACTGATTGTCTTAATTTCCTGGTGCTGCCATAACAAATTATTACAAACCGGGAAGATTGCTGTGTATTAACAATGTAGAAACAGTACGTGTCGCTACTTCAGTTCCGTAGGTTACTTGATGAGTCCCAAGTTTCCTAAAGGACAAAGCACAGCCTACCCTGGGCACGTGTCCTCAGCCAGGCGACACTCGTTCCGATATTTATAGGAAACGTCGTGTTGCGTGGCTCCAGTCAGATAACTTTTTCCGTGAAGAACATGCCAGTTCGTTCCGTGTGCTTGTAAATGGTTGACTAAACCTTAAACTAGATGTTAGTCGAAAAACTTCTAAAGGAATTCTCAAACAACGCGTTGCTGTTTCTCTAAAGCCAAAGCAAGCCTTGGTCAATGGTTTGTGGCTACTTACCCGGTTTAATGAAATATTAGGAGATCTCTCAGGGAAACATTGAGATTCCTGGCAGCAGGTGGCAGGTGGGCAACCTAATGAGGGAAAAACGGGAAAAGAGTGACAAATGATCTCATTAGGTGGCTCCGCATATACGGTTGCTGGTTGCAGGTTTAGTGGTTGGTACACTTTCAATGAATTATGTAGGAAGTTATAATGGTGCTGGGAGAAACTGGCTTCACGGAGTCTGAGATTTTATTAATTCATTACGGCCTGATTGTTTCCAATAAGACTTAGTGTCTATGGTAATAAACGTATAGAAATGAAGTGTGGATGTTATGGACGTGGCTTCATATTTACAGATATTGGATACTGTGTGTATATGAATCTAATACGCGGAGAGCTCATGGGTTTCAGTATCTTTATTGCTTTGCCAGGTGGTTGTTTTTTTATAAATAAACAACAGACACAACAATGATAAGAACTTAATTAAATCTCTTGTCCGTGGAACAGAGAGCCATTTTTCCCTTTGTTTTGACCTTCTTGCCATTTTCATTCCATTTGAATTGATCAGGAATATTTGAATTACATTTGCAAGTCAAATGCCAGAAGACGTTCCTCGAAAAGGCATGCTATCTACTGATCTTCTCTTCCTCTTTTCTCTTCTGTCATAAATATTTGTCTGGCAAGTGCCTTCATTAACTCTGGCTCCGCGTTGCTCCTGCTCACGTCGAAGAGGCTGAACGAAAGCCGGAGCCCCGTGATTTCAAGTAAATGGGACCTGCACTAATGTGAAAGTCCTACATCAGGGCAACAGGGGCAGATGAGCTACGTCGAAACAAAGAAGTTAGGTGTTTCTGCTCTCTCTTATCCGAAGGAAATAACCATGTGGAAAGAACGTGGAATATTTAAATAATAACAACAATGATGATTCTTTTTTTATTAAAAATACAAAGTAATAGGAGGTAAGGAAGGAAGGGAGGGAGAGAGGGAAAGAAAGAGGGAGGACTGTCTATGGGAAAAATAATATACAAATAAACTTGAAGGACCATCCAGGTAGGCACAGTCCATCTCTTTAGATAGATTTTTCGTTTTTCATGGACTAGGCGTATAGGATAACCAGTGAATACAGTCCTGTTTTAGTTGGCTCAGGCTGCTGTAACAAAATACTGAAGACTGGTGGCTTAAATAACAGTTATTTCCCACAGTCCTGGAGATGAAGTCCAAGACCAGGGTGCGGGCAAGGTATGTTTCCTTCTGAAGCCTCTTGTCTTGGTGGCCTGCAGGTGGCCACCAAGTTGCTGTGTATTTAGATGGCCTCCTCTGTGTGTGGAGCGCTTTCTGGGGTCTCTCCTTATAAGGTCACAAATTGTATAGGGTCGGATCCCACTCTTATGGCCTCGTTTAATCTAAATTATTTGCTTCGAGACTCCGTCTTCCAATACAGCCACACTGGAGGGTTAAGGCTTCAGCATATGAGTTTTATTTGGGGGGGG